GTACCAATATTTATGTGTTGAAATAAAATAAAATAAAAAAAGGCTTCGAGCATCTTTTGTACGCCGTAGGACTTAGACGTGTACACATCTTATGGTACCACTTTTTACATTCATCGCACTGCATTCCTTCCTCAACGGGGAACAAGCAGTTTGGTTGTTCACATTTATAAGTCTTACTAACCACTGTAATTTGATTAAAAAGGTTTAAAACACAATATGATCACAACGTGAACACGAGTGTCAGTCAGTGAGTAAAAAAGGTACCACAGGACAAAGTTTAGCGAAAATTTCAAACCTTAACCAAAGTACTCTTAGTTAAAGTAGACCAAGAATGCTTTTTAGTGCAACAAGTACACAAAGCAAGGATAATCACAACAAGTACAAGAATCACTGCCCTTTTTGGAACGAGCTCCAAGTACGATACCATAAGGGGAAAAGGTTTAAGCTTGTTAAGCGCTGATCGTAAGGGAGTTTAGAAAGGCCGTTCACTAACTTTGCTCTCACACACTGAACACGCTCAGGTGAGTTAGTATCCTTTATCAGATATGGGCTAGCTGCTTGGATACAGTACTCTAAGTGTGGTCTTACATAGGTGAGATATGAAGTTCGAAACATCTCGTCAAAGCATTTGAATGCTCGGCGAAGTGACCATAACGCACGATAACCTTTGGCACAAGCTGCGTTGCAATGCGTAGTTATTTTCAAGTCATGACTTATTATTACTCTTAAATCTTTATGTTCTTGAACGCATGGAAGAGATGTACTATCAATAGTATAATGGTAACTATTACAGTATCCGATGTGCATGGGCACACTCTTTCCAGAATTAACTTCTAAGCACCAACCCCGAGCCCATCTAACTAATTCGTCTAAGTCAGCTTGAAGATCAAAATGATTAGCCTCACTTCTTATTGTTCTCCAGAGTTCGACATCATCCACAATGTCGGCAACTTAAGCAATAGCGGTAATTCATTAACGTAAAGAAGGAAAAGTCGGGGACCTAAGATGGTACCTTCGTGTACACCACTTTTGACCGGCTTGCATTCGTATAGCGTTCCACTGACCCTCACTGTCTGCGATCACATAAGAAGTTTCCTATTCATTCATATACAGCACCTGTTATTCCGAAGCTCAAAAGCTTTTGCATAAGACCTAAGTGTGAAACTTTGTCAAACGCTTTTCTAAAGTCTGTAAATATCACATCGACAGACGGAACGTTATATAGGGCTTCTGTCCAATCTTTTCTCGCAATAAGTAAGTTAGTCAAGCATGAATGCTTGTTACGAAACCCGTGTTGCTCAGGAGTTAACAGATTGTGTGAATCTATGTGACTTAGTAACTTAAACCGAATTATCTTTTCAAGAAGCTTAACCACTATGCTGGTTAGACTGACAGGCCGGTAGTTGGATACGATCTGTCTGACCGTCCTTAAATATAGGACTGACTATAGCATCTTCCCAATCTCTAGAGAGTTAAGCGAGTGAGACGGATATGTTGAAGAGCGTCGCGAGTGATCTTGAATTAATGTCCGCAAGAGACGACAGCACTCGTGGATTTAAAACATCAGGACTTGGTATCCTACAAAGTTTGAAGTTAGTGGTCAATGGAAGAACAGTTTCCTCAACCACATGTTCAGATTCTATTGCTGGTATCTCGGTGTAATTGGGACAAGTATTTGTAACAATACACGTGGAGTAGACTTCGCTAAAATGGTTTGAGAATGTCTCAGCTTTTGCCAGATCTGATTCAGCTAGTAAATCTAAATTTTCATGTAATAGTAATGGGAGAATACCGTCACTATGTTTTGTTCGCCGTCTAACGTACGAAAAGAATCGTTTCGGACAAGTACGGCTATCATATGCCAACTATCGTTCGCAATTAGTACGGGATTTAGCTATGGTCTTTCTACATATATTCCGGGTATTTTTATATTCACACTTAAATGATGCGTGTTTTGTTAACAAGAATAAGTCCCAGAAGTGTTTCTTACGCTTCAACAGTTTCCGGATTTCCTTATTAATCCATGGAGGGCAATGTGATAGCTTACATGTTGACCATGGCATAAACGGTGATGTTACGAACTAGAATGTAGCCTTAAACTTATTCCATTCGTCTTCGATCGATTTATCCGCATCGACCGACCAGTCAGTCGAGATAACCCAGTCTCTAATTGCCGGAATATTAGCCCGCCAGATATTGGGACGGGGTGAAGCAAACACGAATTGTATATCATATGTCCGAGACTTAAAATATAACGTGATCACTATTCATTAGTGGGGGGGGGAAGGTGCTGAATGTCGATGACATCCTCACAGTGGTGTGTGAGGACAAGGTCCAGCAATGACGGGTCATGTTCCAAGCCAACATGTGTCAGTTTTGCGATGTCCATCTTGTTGTGTTAATGAGGTATGGCAACTTGGACCGATGCATATATGTGCCTGGTCCTACGTTGTAGCTGACTAACTGACTGAGTTTTGCGATACATTGTACGAGTGTACACTGAATAATGGTTGATAGAGGGTCGCTATCGAAACCCCTCACCTGGAGCTGTAAGCTCTATCCAGTTGATATATGGTGCGTTGAAGTCTCCAATGATGAAACAACATTCTACCTTACTCCAAGAATAGATGTATCTTAAGATAAAGTCGTCACAAGACAACATGGACTACGGTATATTCCTCCTATAGTCACTAACGCGTGTCTAGAATTAATTGTACAATATGCTATCTCACATATACCACTAACATGAGCCTCCAATAGAATTGATTGTATACGAGTGACCCCTAACATAACATTATGCCTCCTCCCTTGCGACTTATAACTCTATCACTTCTAATACAGATGTAGCCTGCAATGGTGGGAGAACAGTCTATATCTACAGTGAGTCAAGTTTCTGTGGCAACAATTATATCAGAACTTAATTCATCCACCATCAAACTTAGCTCGGACGTTTTGTTTCGAAGACTACGGGTGTTCGTGTATCACACATTTAAGGTGTTTTGGGAATCATTCCTTTTACCCATACAAATCTCGAAAGCTTTGGCTTTCAAGACCTGACCACCCGAAAACCCTGAATCGTCAGGTTCTTTTGGCCATTTAGTTTTTGAGTTTGTAGCTTCGTAAAGGCATTTTTTCATTTGATTCGATCCTCAAGCGACCAATCTGGTGGGATACGAATATTCGAATTACGAGTTTTGTATGCGTTTGTATGCGTTCAATGTTACGTCTCTTTCATTGAAATTCCCGAGTACCAACTTCAAGACCCTTCTTGGTTGGGTCTGTCCTCCAACCCATTTACCGAATTTTATTACTTCCGTGATATGTACCCCTGAAACCTCTTCTGACAGTACATTTCTGATGGCAGATTCCACTAACTCCAGATCGTGTACACGTCTTTTATCAGGGTCATTGTGTTCTGGAACCTCTAGGTTCCAAATAATTAAACTAGGAACGGGTTTAACTTCTTTGCAGGTGTTCATGGCTCTCGACTGTGATGTCAAATCCTGCCTGTTAACTTCTGGCAGCTTCGTTAGTCAGTCGGCTACAATGTAGGACCAGGTACATATATGCATCGGTCCAAGTTGCCACACCTCATTAGCACAACGAGACGAACACCGGATTCATAGAAGTAGCTACCGTTAGTTTTTCTTGTAACATAGTTGTGGGATTCGAGCGAATGACTCATGACAATGTTTGATGAGGTCAAACTTTTCCCATCTACGATAGGGTTAAATACTATCTTACATTCGGACTTTGGCGGAGTAATTTGCAACGCAGAATGTAAATCCACCAAGGACTTTTCAACTAAACGGATTGTTATTTTAAGCTTACACCCAGTCCTCCATCTCATTTAAGAGATTTTTCAAACGAGACCAGTCTTTATGTAAACGCCGTTGCTTCGATATTAGCTAATTGTTTGCTTGTAGGACCAGTTAGTTTATCGTGGATTATATTTTATAAACTCATGACAAATACTGGTAAACCTAAAAGACTGAGTATTGCATACTAACTACCGATCTCCACTCATGGTAACAGAGAGTTGGTTTTAGGCCGGTTTTCGCGTGCAGAGTTTTTAGTGTTTTGATAAAACCTTCAAACATTCTTTGGCACTGAATCCTAGATTACGACTTTTTCTACTGAGTTTAAGACAGAATTGACGTCAAGATTTGCCGGTTATTGGCTTATAATAAGCGTGGTAGTGTTCTAGCAATTATCAGGGGATGGAAACGTAGTCAATACATATACTACATACGTGGAAAACGGGCCTGCCCATCACGAGTTTTTTCATGAGCTTTGCATAACTTGCGGAGTATAACGGGTGCAACAGTTTTAGGGGAATGAGGGGGAGATTTATGCCTTAGCAATTGTTGCTCAAAGTATGTAGGTCTCTTTCAAAGATAAGGACAGTGACCACCTCATTCCAAAATGTTATTTCAGTATTAAGTTGTTGTATTCAGTTAATCTTCTGCTAATTTGAACTTTATTTATGCAGCTAAAGAGGAAAATGTAATCAAAGTCTAATGGTACTTCTTAATGATAATGAGTCATAAAATATACATCAAAACTTACTACATATAAGTAACATCTTAGTTAAAGTCGTCAAAAATACCAGACTCATTTGTTGCAGTTCTGAAACTACTGATCTTATTTCAGTGTATAAGAAGACTTAAGAGCAAATCATGTGTGCTATTGTCATATTTTAGTTTTGTTTCTACATGTTTTATTTTATTTAGATATACTTTCTAGCTGACGTGAATTTAATGGAATTATCTAATCAGGTTTTATCACGTTTCCTTGTATTTTATTGTGATGACTTAGTAGTTAAAGTGAACAGCTTCCAACAAGCAAGTCTCAGGTTTGAATCAGTGTCCATCTACTTCGATTTGAGCGCACTGGGACTTTCACTGATTCTTATAAACAGTGTGACTCATAGTTGACTACTTAAATCTGTACTTGAAAAATAATTTTCCATAACAAGATGCTTTGGATTCTGTTTATAGGTTTTAAATTTATTTTTTAACATCAGTGACTCATTACATAATACTCATAATTTTGGATAATCCGTTGTACGCCGCATTGCAGGATAATGTCTAATAAAGGCAAATCGCAAGATGAGGCTCTCAATAATGAAGTATGCATTCAATTATCAGTATTTCAGTCACTTAATTCAGAATTCGAAGTCAACAAATTCATTCTATCATGAAGAGAATTCTGTGAAATTGGATGGAAGTGCTCACGATCTTTTACAATTCCGAGATTGTTGTGAATCATTACGCGAGTTCGTAAAAAATACATGGCAGCGTAAAAAATCACAGGAGAAGGTATATTGAATACACTTACCTGGATAATGTTTTCAGATTAATGCTTCGCAGTTTGCCTTTCTGATGATATCTATCAAGGAGTTGAACAGAAGAACTCAGTTTAGGATTCGAAAATCTCGAGAAATAACTGCAGAGGTAACTTGAAGTTGTGCTAAGATTACTTCATATTTTAATTCTAACAGAATAAGAATAAAGTGGATCAGTTACACTTAGGTTTGCAGAATCTTTTATATGAAGTCGCTCACCTTGAAAATGAAATTCAAACATGTTTAGAATTTAGGTGAGTTGTATATTAGTGTTTGCTTATCTACTACAATAGGTCTCGACATGAAGATATAAAATTAATTCCGGTAGAAGAGTTCTATGAGAAAACTGGGCGCAAAGTAGTTTTTGCTTTGCATTTTACAAATTTATAGGTTGGAAGCTTATCAGAACATCAGGAGACTTTGGAGCGTCTTCATTGGGAGCTTGAACAACGAAAGGCGTAATTTTCTTTTTATTGAATAGTTTAATGTATTTCAGTTTATCTGACTCTTGTGATAAACTAAAAAGTGCTGTTGAATCTACTTCACAAACCATTAAAAAGAAACGGAATTATTTAGCCAGTTTTGGTCCAAAGTTGAAGGATGTTGCTGAAGTAAGTTGTTTATTTACCATATTGAAGTTTATCAACTATTTTTAGAGTACTTTAATTATCCAGGAACTAATGGACTTACCATTTACCAACGAGAATGAACAGTATAATTTGGCGTTTCTTCTACCTTCACCACTGTATATTCTGTATTCTCTCTTAAAGTCATACATATCTATGTCAGGTAGTTCAGAAAACTTTTTTATTTGAGTTGGATGAATTTTAGTCATTCCGGAACCAAAAAGAGGGTAGCATATTCAGTTATTTGGATATAATTTAGTAACCATACATTTGTTTGTGCTTTCGATTTTGAGATGTAATGGTGACGATTAGTAGTACTATTTGGTTGTTTAAACAGTAGTAGGTAAGACGGGGTTCGAACTGGTAATATTACATACCTTGTTCAATTATCGACTTAGAAGTATACTATACTGATGACTTTGGGCTACTTGTTAGCCAATCTAAAAAGTTTTTAGATTTAACACTAAATTAAAGTGGCTAAATAGCTTTTATATGATTAATGAACCCTTACATGTTACATGATCTATAATAAAAAGCGGAGGAAATTTAAGTATTAGTAATTGGGTTGTGGTTATGGATAAAGATTAAGGTTTTCATCACGAACTGAACTCAGGTATAATCCAATGATATTCGGCCAAACCTTTGTTTCTAAACTTATAAAAGCTAGGTTGGAGATTTGGAGCTGGGAGTTCGAGTGGGAAAATACTTTTTAGCTACACAAACATCCTTAACTGTGAATTACTTACTTACTTACTTACGCCTGTTACTCCCAATGGAGCATAAGCCGCCGACCAGCATTCTCCAACCCACTCTGTCCTGGGCCTTCTTTTCTAGTTCCATCCAATTCTTGTTCATTTTTCTCATGTCTATCTCCATTTCTCGGCGTAATGTGTTCTTTGGTCTTCCACTTCTCCTTTGACCTTCAGGATTCCATGTGAGGGCTTGTCTTGTGACGCAGTTGGGTGCTTTCCTCAATATGCGTCCTATCCACTTCCAGTGCTTCTTCCTGATTTCTTCCTCCTCTTGGATCTGGTTTGTTCTCTCTCACAGTAGGTTGTTGCTGATAATATCTGGTCAACGAATCCGAAGTATTTTGCGTAGAAAGCTGTTCCCAAACACTTGTATCTTCTGGATGATGGCTTTCGTAGTTCTCCAGATTTCCGCCCATACAGTAGAACTTTCTTGACATTTGTATTGAAAATTCTGACCTTGGTGTTGGTTGACAGTTGTTTTGAGTTCCAGATGTTCTTCAATTGTAGATATGCTGCTCTTGCTTTGCCGATCCACGCCTTCACATCTGAATCAGACACACCATGTTCATCAATGATGCTGCCCAAATACGTAAAGGTTTTTACATCTTCCAAATGTTATCCGTCAATTGTGATTGGGTTGGTGCATTCTGTGTTGTATCGGAGAATCCTGCTTTTCCCTTTGTGCATATTGAGACCTACTGCTGCCACACTGTTCATCTTCTCCTGCATTTGTTGTTGCGTTTGGTATAGAAGGGCCAGATCATCTGCGAAGTCTAGATCGTCCAACTGCATCCTAGATGTCCACTGTATCCCGTGTTTCCCTTCAGATGTTGACGTCTTCATGATCCAGTCGATCACCAGGAGAAAGAGAAAGGGTGAGAGTAAGCAACCTTGCCTGACACCGGTCTTCACTTCGAACGACTTTGTCAACTGTCCTCCATGCACGATTTTGCAGTGTAATCCATCATAGGAACTCTGTATGATATTGACTATTTTCTCAGGCACGCCGTAGTGTCGAAGAAGTTTCCATAGTGTTGTTCTGTCCACGCTATTAAATGCCTTTCCGTAGTCAATGAAGTTGATGTAGAGTGATGAATTCCATTCGATTGATTGTTCCACAATGATCCGTAGAGTTGCGATTCGGTCTGTACACGATCTATCCTTACGGAATCCTGCCTGTTGGTCACGAAGTTGGGCATCTACGCAGTCCTTCACCCTGTTTAACAATACCCTGTTGAAGACTTTTCCCGGTATTGAGAGGAGAGTGATGCCCCTGTAGTTACCACACTTGCTGAGACCGCCTTTCTTTGGTATTTTGATCAGAAGTCCTGCTTTCCAGTCTTATGGTACTTGTTCCCCATCCCAAATCTTATTGAAGAGAATGTGGAGTATCCTTGCAGTTGCCGCTACGTCTGCTTTTAGTGCCTCTGCTGGAATGTTGTCCGGTCCTGCTGCTTTGCCACTCTTGATTTGTCTGATGGCCATGCTGATTTCTTCTATTGTTGGTGGGCCAACATTGATTGGGAGGTCCGTGGGTGCTGCTTCGATGTTGGGTGGGTTCAGTGGAGCTGGTCGATTCAAGAGTTCTTTGAAGTGTTCTACCCACCTGTTTTGTTGCTCTTCAATGTTGGTGATTACCTTGCCTTCCTTGCTTTTCACTGGTCGTTCTGGTTTGCGGCGATTTCCAGAGAGTTTCTTTGTCGTGTCATACAGTTGTCTCATGTTTCCTTCTCTTTCAGCCTTTTCCACCGCCGTTGCTAAATCTTCCACATATTTACGCTTGTCGGTTCTGATGCTCCTCTTCACTTGTTTGTTTACTTCTGTGTATTCAGCTTGTGCCTTGGCTTTTTCTGCTCTTGTTCGACTGGTATTGATTGCTGCCTTCTTGTTCCTCCTTTCTTGAATCTTATCCAGTGTACCAACAGTGATCCATTCCTTGTGATGGTGCTCCTTGTGACCCAGAACCTCATGACATGTTGAAGTGATTGCCTCTTTTATCTCCTTCCAGTTGCTCTCCATAGTAGTTCCTTCTCCATTGAGTAGATCATGAAAGGCCTGGAACTTGTTGCTGAGGACTATCTTGAATTTGTTGAGTTTGTTAGTATCCTGGAGAAAGGCCGTATTGAACTTTTGTGATACTGTCTGCCCCGTTGTCCAGTGCTTCTTGAGTTTCAATTTCATCTTGGCGACCAGTAAGTGATGATCTGATGCTATATCAGCTCCTCTCTTGGTTCTCACGTCCTCTATAGTCCTCCTGAACGTTTTGTTGATGCAAATATGGTCAATTTGGTTTTGTGTAGAGTGATCCGGTGAAGTCCATGTGGTTTTGTGTATGCGTTTATGTGGGAATATAGTTCCGCCCATGACCAGTTTATTGAAGGCACATAGGTTTGCAAATCTCTCACCATTTTCGTTCCTTTCTCCCAATCCGTGTCGTCCCATGATGTTTTCATATCCAGTGTTGTCCGTTCCAACCTTGGCATTGAAGTCTCCCATCAGAATGGTCAGGTCCTTTGTTGGGCACTTCTCGATGATTGACTGCGGCCTATTGTAGAATTGATCTTTAGCGTCTTCATTGTAGTCGTTGGTAGGCGCATAGCATTGGATGATTTTCATTGAAATGCCCTCTTTCTTTGTTTTGAAGGAGGCTTTGATGATCCTTGGTCCATGAGATTCCTATCCTATAAGCGCATTTTGCGCTTGTTTGGACAGCATCAATGCAACTCCTTGTGTATGTTTGGCATTTTCTTCTTCATGGCCGGAGTATAACAGGAGCTCTCCTGAAGTTAGTCGTTGTTGTCCAACTTGTGTCCAATGTGTTTCACTGATCCCAATCACCTCTAGGTTGTATCTTCTCATTTCTGCAGCAATTTGGAAGGCTCTCCCGGTGTCCCACATTGTACGAACATTCCATGTACCTAAATAAATGGTCGCTCTGGTTGTCAGAAGGGGCATCGGCCTCGTAACTTCCGAAGGAATTCGGCTTTCATCATGAGGCATCATAGTTCTTCTAAATGAAGACCTTCTGACTCCCAGGGCATAGTTTAAAAGGTTTGAATAATTTTTCTGGTTAGCGTTTTTTAGCGAGTTAGTTTTCTACGGGATGGGGACGCTAACCCCATGTCCAACCCTCCTCCTTTATCCGGGCTTGGGACCGGCAGTAGCCCCCGGAGGGACTCCAGGCGGAGTTTTGACTGTGAATTAAATCACATTAAGTACTAACAATTTTTACTTAGTTTATAATAAGATACATGTTATCACTCACTGCGCATTGAATTTAACGAAAAAATCATGAAAACAATCTCTTAGTTTTAGTTGGTTCATATGGGGCCGTCAGTGTAGTATACTTCTACGATTGTTTGTTAAGTTAGCTTCATCTGTATTTGTCAGTGAGTGTCCACTGTTCTTCCTCGTATGTAATATGGGTTTATTTTGGTTTTGTTAGTGGCTAACAACTCGTCGTTCGGTAGCTAATGAAACTTTAGACGTGATTTTCATTCCGTTTAAGGCTTTTTACCTGCGTACTAATACTAAAACTTGAACGCATTATTTATAAGGTTAAACATGAAGGCGTTATTATACTACCGAGTTAATTTCCCACTAGTCCCGTTTTTGATCACCAGACTCCTTATGCATTTACTCTGATACACCATTTTTTATTTGTTATCCTATTCGATTGAGTACTTCTTACTTTGTATGTTTTCTGCCATAAATTATGCTCTCGTTGGGACCGACTATAGTGACTGTGACACCACAAGTTCCCACTGAATATTAAGCTTTTATAGAGTCACTTCTTTTACAAAGCTAACGTATGTAATATACATGTGTGTAACAATAAAGCTAAAGTGTTTAAACACTTGTGGAGCTATATTTCTGGGCAAAAAAGAAATTGGATATGAACAGTTATTATTGACTTTCACTGTTTTGAAATTACGATTGCTCACCCACTTTTTCTGTATTTTCTTGGTAGGTTTTTTAGTCTTGTGATAAGAGAAATGTAATTTTATATGTAATTGCTGTTTTAATAAATATATTTGAACATTGTCGTATGATCAATGAAGCAAGTTATTTGTTGTGAATTTAACCGATCGATGTATTAACTAATAAAAAATGTGACACAGCCTAGTATTTCTAAAACTCATCGACTACAATTTCATTTCTTTGATGTGTTCGGCTAAAATATAATGGGTTCTGATTTTCGTCCCAACATGAGTTGGAGTTTCTTTACTATATTTTTTATAGTGCCGTTATTAGCTACTTGAATGCAGATAATATATTGCTAATTAAACTATTTTGTTGAGTTGTTCTTCTTGTTGTAGGAAAAAAATCAGAATTTTCTGTATCAATCGAAGGTGATTCGGAATTGGCCAAAGCTGTTAATCAAACAACAGAACAAACGGAATCCCAGTCTTCACCACAGGAAGCTGATGATTCTGATGTAGATGATGGAGAGGGGAATAAAAAACGCGTTAGTTCTAGTTTTATTTTTTGTATGCGATATTCAAATTAAAATGGAACATTATAGAATTAGTTTATGAAGTCACCGATTGTTAGTCTAATATGTGTAACTGGCAGCATGTTTTGAGGTTCTTGTTACCTAAATAAACTTATTATTTATGAGTGCTGAGGTAACTGACTTACTGATTTGAATACAAGAATTTGAATACGAGAAATTAGTACATTGATCCGACAAGGCAAATAAAATACTGAAGCAAAGCTAAAAGGAGAAGTAAACGCAGGACTATAAAATTAATAATTGTATGTTATCAAGTTATTCAAAATTTGAGTTTAAGGTAAGGAATGATTTTGTTTTTGTTTGTATTTTACGTGTACTATCACAGTAGATTAGTTAAGGGTTTATACAACTATAATAATGTATTACTAACAGTTAATAGAAACTATTATTTCTATGATTTTTCATCGATATGCAGAAATAGACCGATATAACTTTAATGAACTGAATAAAATGTTATTAGCCATTGTGTTGTACGCCGAATTTCTTATTTTTTTTATAAAGATAATTCTTTATACTAATGGTGGTCATACGCGTAAATCACTTGAAAATGTAAATCTTACTACTTGTTAAGAAATCGTTTTTTTAAATACAAAAACTCTGATTCTGCTTTTTATTAGAAGAAGAAACGTTATGCGACAGAATGCATCGATGATACAGATAAAGAGTTTATCAATGAAAAGACTATTAAATTCCATCCATTAACTGTTTCGTTAACGGTTTCTGTCCCTAAAAATTCAGGTGAGATTTATTTTATATTCCTTCATGTTTTTTGTTGTTGATGAAATTATACCCGTAGATAGTTTTTTTTCCAAGAAGCAGGGATTACAACTTGAATTATTGTGATTGGCAAATTGTATAAATTTGATATAATTTACTTTACAGTTAAAATGCAACTCAATTCATATTTAAGGATATCGTTGTACACTAAAAGTTTGTGCAATAAGCAGATAAATGAGATTTTTTTAACTGATAAAATAAAATGTTTGTTTGTGTAAGTATTAATCAATATGACCTATTATTTAGTTATATGCTCTTGCCGTTCCCTTCTCATACCAGTAAGTCTGATAGGGAAAGATAATTTTAGTGTTCAAACTACCCTGTTATTATGACCCAGTTGGAAGATATTTTGACAAAATCAGGTTGTAAAAATACACCTTTACATTGACTATAAACTTATAGAAGTTGCACCAATCGTAACAACTATGAAAAACACTACTTCTTTACTATAGGGTCAAATTATATGGTTAACGCAAGTTTACATTTCAAACGTGAGAAACGTCTATATGAACACTGCGCTCTTATCTTCAATTAGAAAAAAAATCTGCAATTTCATTCGAACTAAGTTTTATTTCACACAAATATATTGACAAGCATTCTATAAAAGTAATTAATTTCCTTCTTTTTGTAGATATACCATTGAGTGAACGTGGTTTTAGTATCAAATTATCATTCGCTTGGATGTTAGATTTACATCTGGTAACGGTGAGATTACAGTTTTCAGCAGACAAAACTGCTTCACTTCCCCGATCAAAAACTGGAAAGTGAGTAGCTGACAGCATGTAATCTTTGGACAGTAAACTTTTTGATTGTGTATAAAAGTCATATTTTGTATGAGTGATTGTTTAGTTAGACGTTGAATATAACTGTAATTTCTAGCTGTTAACAAGAGAGAAACAATTACACACCTTATGCTGTTAGTTTTAAGACAGATATACGACAGAGCATGATAAAGGTTGGATACTTTTACGTGAATGAGTTTGATTTTCGTCAGGATTATAGTATTTTATGGATTCTGTTTAAGATACTGTCAAGACTTCCTAACTTACTACCATGTTTCGATATCGTCATTTTGAGATTTCCTTCATGTTTATCTTGCTTAAGCACCATTGGGCGTTTGATTACTCACTGATTTAGCATTTTTAATGCAAACCCCAAAATATCTCGATGCATAAGTTTTCATGAACCCACCTAAACCTCACAGTTAATATTGTTTGCGCTATTATCAGTGACATCAGTTGACACATCATCAACTTTGTCCATGTTTCATGGTTGTATGGTAAAATACAGTGCCCAGTTGTTCTGTACTCTTGAATATCCCATAAATGTTATTTAAGGAGTTGGCTGGAAAATCTTAGTTGAAGCTTCTGTGTTTGCAAGAAGATTTTAATAAATATTAGGGTCGATAGTCAGTCAGTCAGTAACAACGTAGAACTTCTTACGTACGTATATCAGTTCGAGTTTCCATACCACATTAAGACAGAGATACAATTTTCGATTCAAATCCCATAGTAATAGAGGTAGTAAAAGTATAAGCAGTAATCGGAAAGATTAGGGTTTGAAGATGTTATTCAATGAGTATAACACAGTGAAATAAATTTAGAAAGAAAATAAGGGACATGAAGAATTCAGAAGATTAGAATTTAGGAGAACACAAAAAGTGGATGCACCTGCGCTATTGCAAACGATTTTGAGCCATGTCATTCAAGGTCTCTTACCATCAGTTGCTATCATCTCGCGGACCCCAACCAGATAGTCTACACCTACTAACATAGCTCAGTCCACTTGTCAGTGACTTCATGGATTTGTGCCATGTTTTGGTCTGGCCGCTCCTAGCTTTCTTCCAACCTACTCTTACACCAGAAAACATCGCACGTCGGGGCAGTTGGTGGTTGGGCATAAGTAACACATGTCCCAGCCATCTCAACTGATGAGGTTTCACTACTTGATAAATTGATTTGCCATCCTTACCTAGTACCTGTTTCCTAACAACTGTATTACTTACTCGGTGGTCCCAGGATATATGAGCGATGCTTCGAAGATACCTATGGTCGAATACTAATTACTTACGAATATCCTCTACTCTTACCGGCCATGTTTCACAGCCCTAAAGTAGTTAGGGTCGATAGACTTGCAAGGGTAAACAAAACAGCGGAAAACGTTACCAAAAGTGCATTTTATAAAGTTTATATTTTTTCACACTAACAGAAAAATTAGAATAATGTTTCCCAAATATTTCTTCATTTTCCATTTTAAGTAATACTAGAGACACTACTGTATCCTTTACTTACTGTAATTTTCGGCCAAATCACCCCTTGATGGGAAATCGATATAAATCAAGTTGATAACAAAGTCTAAGTAAAATTTTACGAACACGTCTGAAACCAGTTAAGATTGTTTGTTGGATGCGAAATAACGGTTTATTATTGGGTGTATGTTTCTGAGCCTTCTATGTGTTAACTCTAGATCATATCAAAACTAAGTGTATTTGTCACTTCCGGAAAGCCCTCATCCTGTTCCTTACACAGATGAAATTCAAAAATGAATTGAGATTGGTAGAATCTTCTGAAAATATTCTCTCTTCAACCATTAGTGTCCAGGTATGAGTTCGAAAGAATTGTAATGTTTAACCGATCTCTTTTAACCATGCCCAGAGTGTTACGATTTTTATGTGTACCTCGTATGTTTAATTTAAAGCGAAGTTAGATTTAGTTCCATCCGTTTTTCTGAAATTCACTTTTTTATATTGTATTTTTATAGTAGCTTGCTTAATTCTGAACAGCTTTTGTCCAGTTTACAATGGTCTTGTGACCAACTTCGTTTCGGTGGTTGTAGTTCAGATATACCTATTTTATTTCTTCCTAATTCACAAAAATCGATTACATGGAATGCATGCGAATCCGTCGGACGACCATATTCGTGGGCTCAACAACTATCAGGCATTAACTGCTTTCCAGATAGGTTATCTGATAATAAATTATGTGAACAACCACCAAAATCTACCGATTCAGAACATTTTGGGGAAATTGAATCTTGGTTAAAATCTCTTCAATCGCGAATTATTGACAGACTATATCTTATTGAAGAGGTGAGTGTACACTTTTGGAGATCTACCACATAGCACTTCTCATTCATCTCAATTTCATTTATATTACGAGTCACTGCTTTCTGTTGGGGTTTCGGAAAAAATCTGAGCGTTATAAGCAAGAAAGTACTGATCTTCGAATCGGGTTTCAGCAACTACTTAGCGATGATATTAGTCTTGATAGTGGTTTAAATATTAAGTGATTGTATATACTGTCTATAAGTTGGATTTTTGTGATAACTAATAATGCTATTCAGGTTGATCAGTGACTAAGATTCAACCTTATTACAATATTGGTAAAAGTCAAATATTTAATCTGGAACTCTTTTCAAAACATAATTACTAACTTTCATCATGGTCCACTGCCCACATTAGTTGGTTCCCACAAATGATTACTTTATTATTATCATATGGACAAGAAAGTTGTCTATTTAGTTCATTACTCTCACTAAGATTGTAACAGTAATTAATTGAAGTGAATCTATAAAATTTTAAATATTTTCACACTTAAGTGCATCCCTGGTGTTTTTAATGTCATCTTCATTTTATGGATATCACCTTTTTCTCAATAGTTTAACTGTTGGGGACGTTAGATCCCCAGAACTCACTTGCGAAAGGTCCTAATTTTGTGGTTTTATTTTGAAATTTTGAATTTCTTTATTTTCTCCCCAAAAGCGCTCTTTTCACCTTCATGCCATATTTCCCACTTGGGAGAATCGTAAACGCTATTGGTCCGTTGTATCTTTTAGTAAGCTATTTTGTAACGCATCTCAAGGACGGTTTTGTGCTGTATATATGCGTTTTGATTTGTGTCTGTTGTTATCACTCGTGCTTCTGGCGTTTTGCGGAACATACTTCTCCGTACGGACTTCGACTTCTCTTTCTAGTTAGCGGGGCTGGGACGTATCACAATAGCTAATTTATTGGTCTTTGGTCACAAATCTTGTACCGTTCTCAGACTAAGTGAACTCTTAATCGCTTCAAACATAGCATTAACTATATGAAGAATTTTTGTTTGCAATCTTGTTTCTTTTAATTATTATGTAGTTTTTACATGATTTCGTCTAGAATTAAAGGCTTCGTTAATCCGTTCCGATTTATGGGTTTATTATAGAGCTAATTTGAATATTTGATACTGGCATTTTGTTTCTCAGTCATATAAAATTATTCAAACCAGTCTAGTTGCTCCATTCAAACAGCAAACTTATATTTGTCTCTTTAACGTTATCAGCTAGTTATTTTGTTACTGGGAAACGATCTTATTGATCTGTTTCATAAGTGAATATTAAACGTAGAAAACTCTATGTATTACATTTGGAATAGTTTATTACTCGCTTTGTAAATAACTGTAAAGATACAGTACATGACAATGATCCAGTGTAAACAGGTTAATCGAACAGAACGATGCATTCAAGTTAACATTACCTTGATTCAATCTTAGTGATACTTTTGAGAAATAAGTATAAATTGGCACTAAAGCTCAAATCCTATTGAATCTTTTGATAGACGAATGTTAGCTTCTGTGTACAAGTTCATTGACAGGCTATCTTTAGCAACGAATTAATAATAAAAATAATGTCAAACTACTTGGGTTCTTACCTTTGTACTACAACCAAATTTTTATTAACACATTAAAGAGGTATGTTATTTTTAGATTTGAATTAAAAGAAGCAAGTACCATGTTAAGGTTTGGGCAAAATTAACTCTTTTATTAATTGCTAAAGATGTATTTGTTATGGATGCTGAGGAAAAATATACCAATAATTATCGTGTTAAGTCTATGGTGGCCTTAGACCTTAAATGTACATTTCCTATTGGTCGATGTTTATTTCACTTGTTAAATATTGTGTAAATGTTGTTCTCTATTTTATGGTACGATGTGGTTTGTTTGGTTAGTATGTAAATAGAGTATGTCTGAAATACAATGATTCATAACTCAGAGGCTGTGACTTGTGTTCTTGACTCAACTGGCTAGGACAGACAGCGAAGCAGGGCCAATCAGGGCACTAGGTCGTCCACTACGTGTTTACGTGTCTACTGTAATCGATCGATATAACGCTGCTTATCAAAACCTGCAGGCTACACGTTACAACAGTATTTTACTAAATAACTCCTACGGATCCCAACTTATTTTTTGGGATTTATTTATTTAGGCCTGTTACCCCTCGTGGAGGAGCATAGGCCACCCACCAGCACTCTCCATCCAAATCTTTCCTGGACAATACCTTTGCGTAGACAATTGTTCGTACAGTAGGACTGTTTCGACTTTCGTATTGAAGATTATCAATTTGATATTGGTTATTTTGAGTTCCATGTGTTCTTCAACTGTACGAATGCAGTCCTTACTTTCCCTATCCCCGCCTTTACATTGGATCTTTCTTGTTCATCGATGATGCTTCCCAGTTACGTGAAAGTTTTCACATCTTCCAGAGCTTCTCCATCAAGGGTGATTGGATTGGTGTTCTTTGTGATGTATTTGAGGATCTCGCTTTTTTGTATATTGAGGCCTACTGATACCGAGGCTGCTGCTTCACTAGTTGTCTTTATCTGCATTGTTGGTTTGTATGGAATAGAAGGGATAGGTCATCTGCGAAGTCCAGATCATTTAGTTCATTCCAAACTGTCCGATGTATTCTATGCCTCTCCTCTCATGTCGAAGTCTTCAGACTCCAGTCAGCCACCAGAACAAAGAGAAAGAGGGAGAGTAAACAGCATTACTCGACTCCGGTACTCACATGAAATGCATCTGTCAACTGTCATCCATTCACACACTTTGTACTGTAGTCCGTCGTATGAATTCTGTATGATGATGACAATTTTCTCAGCTACTCACACCATAGTGTCGAAGAAGTTTCCATGCATTTCTTCCATTCACAATGTCGAATGATTTCTCATAATCGAGGAAACTTAGTGAAATGTAGCGATGCTTTCGATTCATGTGATTGCTCAACGATGGTCTGTATGTCACGATTTGGTCTGTGAACAACCGATCCATACGGAATCCAATCTGTTGATCTTGAATTCGGACATCTACTGAATGTTTCATCCGGTTCAGTAACATTCTGTTGAAATGTTTTCCTAGCACTGATAGCAGTGTGATGACTGTATACTTCTCACAATTGCTCAGATCTCTTTTCTTTGATATCCTGATGGGATATGCTTGTTTCCAGTCTGTCGGCACTTGTTGTTGTTGTTCTTCTTCTTCTCGGATCTTCCTGAATCTTCCTGAATGGAATGTGGAGCATGTTTGCAGTTGTTTGTATGTGTGACTTTATTGCTTCAGGTGATATGTTGTCAGGTCTCACTGCTTTCCCATTGTTGATTTAGTCGATGGCCATCCTGATTCCGTCGGTCGTTTATGTAGTGACATGTATAGGAAGGTGTGTGTGTGTGTAGGTGGTTGCTTCGATGTCTGGTAGATCCAGTGTAGCTGGTCTATTTAAGAGTTTTTCTAATTATTCTATTCATCTGTTCTTGGACCTCGTTATTTGTTTTGCCTTCTTTGTCTTTGACCGCTCTTTCTGGTTTACTGAATTTCCCTGTCGGTTTCTTCGTTGTGTCATTGCTATCTCATATTTCCTTACGTTTCAGCTTTTTCCACTGTTTTTGTTAGCTCTTCCACGTATTTTTGCTCGTCAGTCCTAATGCTCCTCTTCACTTGCTTGTTTGCTTCAGTGTATCCAACTTGTGCCTTGACTTTCTGTGTTCTTGTTGGGCTGTTGTTAATTGCCGTCTTCTTGTTCTTCCTTTCCTAAATCGTGTCCAGATTTTCGATAGAGATCCATTTCGCATGATGATGTCACTTGCGGCTCAGTACCTGACACATTAAAGTGAACGCTTGTTTGATCCCTTTCCAGCTGTCCTTGATAGTAGTTTCTTCTTTGAGTAGATCTTGTAAGTCTGGGAACCTGTTGTTGAGAGTTATCTTGAATTGGTTGAGTTTGTTAGTACCTCATAGGAAGGCTGTATTGAACTTTTGTAATGCTGTTTCCCCAGTATTCCAATGCTTCTTTAACTTCAGTTTCATCTTGATCACAATCGGACTTTCTTCTGAATTTTATATTGATACAGATATGATCTTTATGGTTCTCTGTTGTGTGATCCAGTGAGACCCATGTAGCTTTGTGTATGCGTTTGTGTGGAGATATTGTGCTACCTCTAACCATTTTATTGAATGCACTTAGGTTTGCGAATCTCCCCATTTTCGTTTCTCTCTCCCAGTCCATCTCCCATAATATCTTCATACTCGGTGTTGTTCATTCCGACTTTGATGTTTAGGTCTCCCATCAGGATAGTGAGATCCTTTTTTGGGCACTTCGCTAGTAGAACTGATCTTTATTCTCGTCGTTGCTATGATTGGTGGGTGCATAACATTGGATAACATCATGACTCCTTTATTTTGAAGGATGTTTTGATGTTCCTGGGTTCATGAGATTCCCACCCTACAAGTGCTTTACGTGTTTCGTTGGACAGCATCAGAAAAAACTCCCTGAATGTGTGGAGCATCTTCCTCTTCGTGACCAGAGTACAGCCACATCTAACCTTTTCTGTCTAGCTTGTGTCCAATAGGTTTCACGTTTTCCGAGCACCGTCAAGTTGTATCTCCTCATTTCCGTAGCTGTTTGGTTAGTCCTCCCGGTCTCCTACATTGTTCAAACATCCCATGTACCTATACTATTTGTTGCTGTGGTTGTTAGAAGGGGCATCAGCCTCGTGACTTTTGAAGAATCTGGGCTTTTTTCCCGAGGCGTCATAATTCTTCCTTCAACTCCCAGGACAGAGTTTAAATGGTTTAAATTGTTTTTTCTGATTGACTTTTTTCTAGAGGGATTTTTTTCTACGGGATAGGGTTGCTGACCCCATGCCCAACCATCCTCCTTTACGCGGGCTTAGAATCGGCAGTAAACCTAGAAGAGCCACAAGCGGAGTCAGGGATTTCTTAGTCTGCTAAACGTATTTTTCGTCATGAAGTATAGACTACTGTCAAGCAGTAAGTAGTACAGAAGTGTATCATATCAAACTACGTACATTATGAAGTCATTTATTCACTGACTAAAATTTACGTTTATTATAACTGTCAGGACGTAGTTTCTATCTATCCAAAGGTATTCTTAAACCTAAGAAGGAATCATTAGCATTAGTAATTAAAATATAAAAAACGGTAAGAAAGGACCTCAAGTACGTTGAGTACGTTGGAGTATCGTATTTCACATTGAATGTACGAATTAAGTTAATTTACTTAATGAGACATATTATCGGGCTTGTTAAATTAACTTTGTAACATCATTTTTCAAAGGGTGGAGTTATTTTAAATACACTAGATTCAGGATAATACTTTTCGTAAATTTTCATTAAAATAGGATGGTTTCATAAGTAGTTCGAAGTATCAAACTAGGAGACAGAATCTATGTATTGAGAATACATTATAAATGTAAACTTAACAATCGAGTTCAAATAGGAACTAATCCTGATAAATCTAAACTTTTGTAATTACTTTCACTACACTTGGATAATAATTTTTTCGTCGTGTTCCCTCAATTCTTCATTGTTACTGCTTTTACTGTTTGCAAAATTAGCTTTCAGAAATTGAACGCTGCAACTTGTTGTTATCACCCGAACAACAACAGTTAATCCCCTCTGATGTTGAACTTCACATTATTCGGTGGAAGAATTCTGATTTTGAAACTTTACAGGTGATTTATTTTTATGAAGTTGTTGTATATTAGGTTTACTTTATGTGAAAAAATGTTTTGTTTCAATGTATAGTATTGTATTGTGTGTTGGTTTTGATAGTATTGATGATCATATATTTAACTCCAATTAAAACATTTTCATTCCTTATTATGTTTAGTAGTATCCTAACGGTTACTTTCATTTTTGTTAGATGACTTCAACTAACTGTTCAAAGTACAGTTTACGGTCACTTGGTTATACTTTTAAACACATTCATATGATTAGCAACTTCAAATACATACATACTAGCATTAATTGTCGTGAATGATTTTGATGAAACTGACTGTCCAATATGTAAATGTTAACTGTGTTTAACTTGTTATTCGTCATTCTTGTTAATGTCTATCTACATTTATCGTCTTTTAAGGCCCTATTTTTATTTTTTTTTGTTTATAGTCCGTTCCTCGTGCTCAGGTTATGATAGCTTTAAATGTAATTCGTTCTGAAGACTCAGTATTCCAGTGTCACATTGGAAGAGATGAAAACTGTAGGTTAACATGATTTTACTTTATATTTTCTATGTGATATTTTTCTAAATTTTTCATTACTAAGGAATTTTAATCATATAATCCAAATCCTGCACTAGTGTGTAGGTCACAGTTCTGTGTGTCTGCTGACATTCCTAGTTCACTAATTGAATTGAAACGGATAGAACTATACATTGAACATCTGACTAGATAACGTAAGACTTTAAACACTCGTCTTCTCGGTTGAAACCTAACTTTGATTAGGTTAAGCAAAGTATTACCGCTTTTTTCTCATATAAGTATGTCTTGTTGCTGAGTATTACATGGTTGTTATTGAACTTCATTCTAACTGATCCTCCTGTATGACTCTTCAATTTATTCGTAGAATTTATTCTTAATTCGTAGCTCATATATGTTTTGGCTTTTTCAGATTTTGTCACTGTATGGGTCTGTATCCCACCTCAGTATCCACATAAAGCGCCATTACTAATTATGGACGGTTTAATCAATTTTGTCAGTCCCAGTGGTACACATAATACGGAGGATGTTGTCACTGACTTATCTGATCTTCATATACAGGTAATTTCTAATTATTTATTAATTATTGTTAAATCTAACTGACTATCATTTCAGTTGAGGTCCATTTTTTAAAATATATGTTTTACAAAACGACCCAACAACAGAACACTAAAATTTGTATTTCTATATACTTAGTCACCGGGATGGTAAATAATTCCTACCTATGTATTTGACACATGCTTTATTATGTTGTTACATCAATATCGTACCATACTCAAAAAGAAATTTAAGACTGTATATTTATCACATTAATACCTATCTGGGAAATTTTGTGAGACTCCTTAGCAGTGCTCATGGATGCGAACACTCGACCTCTAGACCACTGAGCCGGCATCCGATGGTGTTCATGTCTAATTCCAACGAATCCGTGATCTTTTACAACCCTTAATCCATTGTCTTCGGTGAATAACTGTCTCACACTCGACACGGATTGAACTCAACTGATCACAGCTTCTCACTAGAACCCTAAGAATAACATCTTGAACATAGTCACTAGTGAGCACATGACTATTATTAGTATGAGGGATTTATGGAGATTGCAGTATTTTTGCAGTTGAAATCACGAGCTGATGTTGGTCCACAAATCTTTCATACTAATTACATTTGAGTTAAACAGGAATTCACAACGTTTTTAAACATACTTAAGATTGTTAACAAAGTCTCAAAGTTCCAGTTAATGACAAATAACAGTTGCATACTTTTTTCATAAAGTTAATTGTTTATATTTTTTTGTGTGGTTTTAGATGAAATTTGTCAGTAGTCACGCTACCCCAATGATTAAATTAATATTACCATTTATAAATAATCTCTTTGTAATAACACTATGCATTACAAAAAAAATGTTATCATAAATCTAAGTAAATGTTTGTTATGTATATCCAAGTAGTATAGATCGATTTGTCTAAAAGTTGTGGAAAAATTATTATTACATAATTTCTGTATATATCCACATATGTGGGTTTTCATTTTTGTATGAATAGTTTAAAGTAAGACTCATAAAGTAACCAATGATTATTCAACGAAATTATTACCGATTATATGCTTTTATTAAGTGATTTCATATAATCTGTAAATATTTAGGAATGAACGAATTCACATCGTAAATTTATTCTGTGATTTTCTTTTATGAAAACTAGTTAACTTTTTGTTGTTGTTGTTGTTGTTGTTGTTGTAAAAAATCCCCGTACCTCAGGAATTAGAAACTGAAGTCAACTGTTATTGGCAAGAATTTTTCACTTCATCTATATATCAAAATAATAGTCATACGGTTGTAAACGATGTTGGTAATATTAATGATATTACTTCTAATAATATTATAAATTCCGATAAGTCGTTTTATAATGGTAATCAGTATGTCGGATTAAGTAAATGGAATCGAAATATATTATCTTGTCAGTTAGCTAGATGTGCTGCTTGTATTGATGCATTATGTCGTGATCAAATAGTTTGGAAAAATTCGTTGAAATCAACAAACAGTTCATGCGTTCGTTCTGTTAGGTAAGTAAACATTTTTTCTATGCTGTTTGGTTTTTTGCATATCATCTTGGTGATATGGGAATAAACTTTGAAATTTTCATATTGTTTAATCACTCCTCAAGCCTAAATACTTATTGGTCAAGTCTGAGATTACTTTAAATATATCATGTTGAGTATGATTAAATAATGAAATTATTAGTCTAACATTTTGTCTTAGGACTGATAATACTGTCCAGTTATTCAAAATTTCATTGGTAGTTTTAATTTCGAACTCTTAGCCTATTGGATGCAAGTTATACACTTAAACATTTATTATGTTCGTCAACATTTTCTGTACAAAATAAAGCAGTAGCTTACTAGATTTAAAACTATACTAATAAGTACAATCGTAAAAGGTTGTGATAAATATTTTTCTTCATGAAATTTCTTGGTTCTCACACTAAAGAATTGTATACAAACTTTGGATCTTGTATTTTAATCTGTTGAGTACATTCTAACACGTTTATGGAACATGATTAGTTGATTTTATTTCATTTAACTGTTCATTTGTACAATATATATACTGTATTAATTAAATCCAAATCAGCTGTTAGTAACTTTCCAAATAAATTCGTTCCCAAAATATGTTAAATGGAGCAAATTTCAAGGACAGTTATCAGCATGTTGAAAAAAGTTGGTATATATTCGTTACATTTACAAGCAGCTTTAAAAATAGTGAGTAGATTCGCTTGTTGATTCACAGAATATTCTCCTTCTAACCAATCAGTTTCCCTGTGTTAACATCTAAGTTCAGAATTTTACTTAAGTGTTCCTTAAACGATTTCAAAATCTCACTAAGTGTAGATATACCTTAGAATCTGGTAGTCAGAATTCACTTTTTGAGTTGAAGGCAGAGACACAACATCTAGTTACTGCTAAATAATATTCCCTTTCTTATGAACTAATGACAGTAAGAAGCCTGGGATTAACAGAACAACCTACGAGGTTAAATCTATACTTTTGTCTAAATATTTTGTTTTCAGTGTTTGAACGTTAAAGTTGTGAACTTATTTTTATGATTGTATATCGGGTGTAAAAAAACCCTACTCTATTTATATCTTAATAAACAATCTTATATAGTGTACTCTTCCAGTTAATGTCCTTTTTATCTATGGTAGGTTTTATGGTTTAGAATTATTTATTTAAAAAAATCTCTTATTTAAATTAATCATACATTGACAGAAATCTCTTTTTAACAAATAGTTTTTTTCCACATTTTAGGTTGATAGTTTACTATGTCAGTTTTATTTGTGTATATGTATGACCTATATTCTATTTATTGAATTGAATTCAGTTTGAATGCTTCATAGATAACATGTTCTTCTGTGTTGTAACTATTAAAAAAAACTTTTTTTCTTCTAATAGGTATCCAACAAGAAGTCGTCCTCTTCGTTACTTACCTTCACCGGGTGCATTTGTTCATCGTTAATAATATTTATAGATTGTTTTCCACTCATCTCTTATTGTTTGTATAAGTGTACTTAAACGCTTCGGATATTTTTGTAAATCTTTATTATTATTACTTTTCTGTTAAAAGGAATGTAATTTTTCCTTATTGTCTAGTTTTTTAAAAAATTTATATATGCTACAATTTTTGTACTGATAAACTCTAAACTGGATAACATTATTGCATTTTTATAGTAAATCTGAACTAAATATACATTGGTTTGTATATAACATTTTGATGGAAAATGATTGACGTGTCATTTGTTTTCAACAATATTGGAAATGAATGAAAAGTTTAATTCCTACTAGGTGGTTTTTAAATCAATAAATATCCTTCCCTAAATGCTTAAATTCCTTAATAACATTTGCTATTTCAGTTAACTAACTTTCTTTTTGTCAACCAAATTAAGAATTTTTCTGTATATGACCTTTGGAGGTAGATCAAACTGTGAATTTCAGTTTATGTTATATGGATTACTTTTTGTATCATTATCAGTTGATGGGTCGGTGATGAAATTCATTTAGCTGATTGTTTTTTTAAAAAAACCCTAAATTCCATCGAATACTACTGTATTGATGTGAGTTGTTTAGTTTGTGTTCAAACGATGATCTATTAAAATGTTCATGAGTGGAGAAAAAAGAGCCTTGGGATTAAAATCAACATATTCAGAGAACGTTTGTAGAATAAATAAGAATTAAAATTTTCAGCAACAGTTTAGATATTCAAACAAGTTCCTAATGGTGTAGTCAAATGTTTGTTTTGTCAGAATCTCTGCTTTTTGGAGAGTGATCCCATCAACGTTAAGTGCTGAGATGACGTAGTTCTTTTTGACGAGGATTTTGAAATAATTCGGTTTTTTTTGGGTCTTCAGTAGCAACGCAAGTTTATTTGGGATTCAGTTCTGTTCCTCTAAGTTAGAAATGTTGCTTCAGGACTGGTTTGCGTCAGTGTTTTACCTTTCGTTTTCTAAATTTCTAGTTTAGTGTAATTCTATACGCCTAATTCAATATTATGGTTATCTTCTGGATTATATCTTCTATGTTTGGCATTCCATCACAGTTATTATTTTAACTTCCTTACTTTTCAGCGCTTCAATTTATTTGCAATGTGTGGTAAAATGGATGGTAATGCACTTGTGCCAGGCCATGAGTTATCTATGACTCACTATCTGTCGGGGATGAATAGACTTCTGAATTTCGATTGTCGTAATAACTGTTAATTTTATGCTTGTTAGCACGTCATACAAAAGTTTCTTTCACAGGAAATCTATGATTGCCATTAGTCTTTATTAATCGAGCCAATATTGATATGATCTAGTTGCAAATGACATTTCCGTGCTACATGTGTGTTGCAGTGTTTCCTCGCCCTCTTGAATACAGGTTGTACGCAGTTGATTTTATAAGTTTTTGGGTTGTTGCTGCCGCGGAAAAATGAAGAAAAATATCTTAAAGACTATCTTTCAAAAGAACAGCTACCGAATCAAGTTCATCAAAAAAATCAAACAAACGCATTAGCAGAAACAAAATCAGGTACAGAAACCAACAAACGGATCATCCATATATAGAAGGCATATCAGAAATTACGAGATGGTTGAAGCCTTTTGAAATAGGTGTAACACACAAATTAAAATCACTTTAATCAATCACATGCAAATTAAAGGTCGTAATGACAAATTAAGGAAAGCCAAATATCTACAAAATGACTTGTTTTAACTGTGAAAAGCTGTACATCAGACAAAGCGGACAGCTTCTTCATCTTCGACTGCATGAAGATGAATTAGCGGTTAAACGCCATGACATATATTTCGCTTATATCAATGCATGCGGACATACATTCAACTGGGAAAATGTTTAGATCTTAGAGGGCATGCCAAAAGCACCAGGGAATTTTTAGAGGCTTGGAACTCAGGTCAGTCAGCAATCAACAAACACACTGAAATCGATCCAATTTATTAACCAATCGAAAAATTATGGACAAATATAGGACCAAGAATAAAATGAAAGGGAGATACAACCAAAATAAAGAAGTGAACAACGACAAGTTAAAGATCAACCAAGATCGAGGTCTACAAGACAAGCTGTGAGTTATAATGTGGAGAAATTCGAACATTCCACTCCTACCTGAAGTTTGTACTGATGATGTCGTTTGAAAGAAAGATGACAGCTCCAAGACTAAAACATCCAGCCCAGCGGATAAAACTTCACTAAACTTATTTGACATTTCTAACCATTTGTTTTATCATGTTACTTGCCGATAACGGATCAAATGTCAGATCAACTATTGGTCCCTTGTTCTATTAGTTTTAATAGAAGTGAGGTTAGTATTGCTTTAATGTGCAATTATTTTTAATCAAAATTTTAGCAACTAACTCAAGTCAACAAATAAATGTATCCATATTCGGTGTCAACAGTATTGCTTACGCTTTTCAGGGGTCTGTATAGTCTGAAAATATATGTACTTTCGAACAGACTCAGTGTACCATTGAATACCTGTCTCCTTTTCGTCTAGGGCTCGTCAGAAGTGTATAGTTATGACTATTTACAATTGTTATGCTTATAGAAACCAAACGATTCCTGGTTTGAGTGTGATGCAGATATCATAAATTAGGAAAGGAAACCAAAGTAATAAATAAACTTTTGAATTACTGGTTAGTTTTACTAAAGCCATCTTCCATATTTAAGATAGTAGTAAGCTGACGATATGCTATGGTTAAACGTGTATCTTGAGTGTTTCACAATTTTAACTTAATAAGCAGAAAAATACTTTCAAGAATTCAGACTTTTCCCAAAAAAAGTTCCAATGAGTGATTTATAGTATGAAAGATTGACTGTTTACGAGTAAGAGCGTAGTGATTATCATTATCATTGAAATCATATATCTTGTCTAAGAGTGTGTATTTGTATTTCATTTAATACGCTAATCAACTTCTATAAGATCACATCAACTAGTGATCAATAATTATTGTCATTCATTCTATCTACCTGTTTGTCTTACACATAGAATTATGTTATATGGTGTTATTATATGCACTACAGATTTCGACATTTTAAATGATTTATGGTAGTATAAAAAACAGCTTTCTACATTATTATTTTAAATCTCCTGCTATGCATAGGGAATTTGTTTTGTTTTTATTACAGAATTTGAAAAAAAAACTCATGTGAGGTATTGTCAATAACTGGCAGAATTTCTAAGCAATTAAGATTTTTCTTAAAAAGAAACTAAAGATTTTCCAACTATCAACCGACATTTTGTTTCATTGGTTACCACTGTGAAGTCGAAAACTGGGGCAAAATGACTGTCTTACATTTCATTTCTTTTCATACTATTCATAGTCCATCTTTCTTTAACTGATGTTATGTTGTAATGGGAAATTCAAATGTAAAGAAAATGATACATTGATAATGGTAATTGTTGGAGAATATATAACAATGGAAACACCTAATAAAAAAACCAAACTTCTAAACATGGGTATTTAAATGACCAATATTTGTTTAGGTAAATTATCATACTCTACAACTACAAACTCAAATTTAATAATGACATTTTAGGTAACTACATTTTTAATAACAAAGACTATAAGTTTGCCAAGGCGGTCGCAAGAACTGTCAGGTCTTATTAGATGGGCTAAGATCTCTTCTCGAACGATAATCGCTCGCATACCTTCTACCAATTCGATTTTCAGTATGACCATTGCTCTCTAATTGGTTATCATGTTTTTTTTAGTTTTCTAAATTGCTACGTGCTTGGTCATATTCTGCTACCATAGTAACAACATTTGTACCAATTTCATTCGGGTTGCTTGTTCTACCACATATATGAAGTTACCTGCAATTTTGTTTTTTTCCTGTCTTATCCGTTGAAGTTTGATGTGTTGAGTATAATTGACTGTTGGCAGTTACGAGAAGAACCTGTCGTATTAGAGAAGCTCACTTGTTTTCGTCCCTAAATTCCCAGCATCGTAAGCCGTTCCGAACCCTAATAGCAAAACACAACTGAGTTTAAGGTTATTGAGGAAATTAGTTTGATAACTTTTGTATATGTTAAAAGAAATCGTACGTAATGTTTATATCTTAATTTGTTTGTAGATCAATTAGATTTGTCGAATCAAAATTCGGAATAAATAATAATGTCAATACTAGTCAACCTTATGTTCGACTAAATATTAGTTTGTGAAACTATATGAAGCACGTAAAAGTAAAATAGGATAAATGCCAAACAGTTTGTATAAGTGAGTTAGAAAAAAATGGCATAAAATAATTTTAAGAGTAGAAGCACGGTAACGCCTCTTAGAGTACTGTTGTCTAGAAAATATTCTGTTTATAATGTTCTCCTTTTGCATCCAAAAGTCGAATTTTTTTGCTAACAGCTTATTAAATGTGAGATTCTGTAAATTTAGTTTGTGTTCAAGGTGTTAGTAAACTTTTTGATTGCTTCAAAGTATACAAACTCAATGAATATACTGAGTTGATTTAAAAAGCTTATTTCATTTCATTTACCTAAACTCCCAATCTAGTGTATAATTGAAATCGCACATGGAAATCAACATTAATTTATATAAGGATACATTCATCACAATAATCTTTCTACCATTCTGTTTTAATGCTCCTGAATTTAAGTGCTAATTGTTAAGGCGACTACATCGCTAAGTCTATTCCCTTCGATATTCGTCGTACAAATGATAGCATCATTTGATTTAAGGCTGTTTCATGGTTTTCATGTTCCCTTTTTAAATCGAATCCCACATTCAATTATTGTTGGTAACATACATTCAACCATTCTAGTTATTCCTGCGTATATCTACACTTTTGTATTTTGTTCAAGTAAATATTCTCATTATCGTTTTAGTTTCATTTACGAGCTATAATAATCACTTGAGATTTGTAATTTCAAACGATTTAGTACATCACTACTATTATCATTTTTATTGTTTTAAGGTTTAATTGTAAATTGATGTTTAAAAATTTCCGTTGTATGTTTAACTGGAAATAAATGCTTTTACCTATTTGAATAGCACAGGAAAAATAAAACATAGAGATACAAGAGTTTAGCTTGTCATTTTCCTACTATGTTTATTGTTGTTGTGCGTGTAGTAGTTTTACTCTGAAGTTGTTTCATTCAAATGTGTTTATGTAGTATTTAAAATGGAAATAGTTGTTTAATTTTTTTAAATATTGTGACAGTTTTGAGAAATTTGACATTGGAAAGCAATTACTGTCGCATAATATTAATATCAAGTGTGATCGACAAGTGTAAGAGTTAGCGATTGATTTGTATATGATTTAGTAGTATCCTTAAACATGAAGTTTTTCAGTCACAGCAGTTATAGTAGTGTATACTATGACTGGAAATGCCAAATTTATTTCCAACTGAGTTTTAAGGTGTTAAGTTATATTTATCTAAGCACATAAAATCTAGCACAACAGAGAACCCCGGCACCAAGTCATAAATTGACCACCTTTTTTTCAGAATGTCATTGATGACCCCACTACTTGAATGAAACAATGAATATAGATTGTTTTACGTCTTCATTATGCCTTCAGTGTTTGTATATAGGAAC